ATTTCACTCCAGTCATTTTCAGTATGCATATAGTAGCTCTACTATGAAATGTGTTTTTAATTTGTGGTTTGTGAAATTTCATCGTATTTTTCTGGTATCCAGGGACTAAAACCACACAAGAAATTCTTGTTAGCTTTCCTAAATGAAAATACCCCTTACTGTTAATGTGGTTAAGGCGTTTTAAATTGGTAGAAGGTTTCATATTGCCAGTGATTGATTGGAGTTGAGATTTGAAGTAGTAGCAGGTTGATTGAGGGGGGGGGGAAACAAACTGTTTGGCACCCAGGGGATGGAGGGGGCACAGGCAGGTGCAGAGAGCAGGGGGAATGAAGCTGTGCCTCAGTGTTTGGTCAGACAGACACAGAGCTCTGCATCTCGATGCTGACCATCTGTCTCGCTGTGCATTTCCAGCTTGGCAGCAGTTCTTTCACATAATTCTGCGCTCCATCTGAAGGCCAGATTTGGTTGGACGAGGCTGTGCCACTAAGCACTGGAGTGCTTCTTGTGGTGAACTTGCAGATGTGGGAGGCCTCACACGGTCCTTTTATAACCAGCCAAGTGGCTCTCTGTAGGACGAGAAGGAGCCGTAAACACATGTACCTGTTTAGAGTTGGGGTGCGGGGATCCCTGAAGCCAGGCTGATAGGGTCCTGGAGCTGGTCAGCTCCTCATGCGATGATGGGAGGGTTGGAGAGTGTTATGTGGGATAGTGAGGGAATGGCTTTTGCCCCCATCAATAGAAAATGTGATCTGAAGGTGGGCTAGGATTAGTGTAGGACTCTCATCAGGACATGCTATAGCATTAATACACCAAAGTAGGGCTTATAAATTAAATTGTATATTATAATATGGTTGCAGACCATTTGCACTATGGGTACTATTAGGGCTGGGCAATTGAATTTTAATTGCAAATACAGTTTTGGCCTTCAACAATTATCAAAATAATCAAGATAAAATGCTTATTGTGCTACATTTCATTTTGCAGTTTTGTCTGGCGTTATAGATCCAGTGCACCCCTTTGCAGCCCAATTTTATTTGTTTCTCAGTCAAATTAAATTTAGAGTTTATGGAGTTTTTTAAGTTCAATAAATGCATGATATTTCCAAAGCCAGTGAGTCATCGTGTTAAATCGTGATCTCAGTATTGACCAAAATCGTTATTATGACTTTGCCATAATCTAGCTTCCCTAGGTTCTGTGACAGGTGATTTCTGCCAGCAACAGTAACACATGCTTCAACCCCCAGACTTTACTGCTTGTGACGATTGGAGCGCTGATGTGGAAGTCTTGACTTATATAGAAACCAATATTTTTTTGTTGCTGATTCAAAACCAGCTAACTTCTCAGGCACAGATTAGCGGAATGACATCACGTCGTTTTTTTATTCTGTGCAAAACCAAAGATCAATCCATGGGTCAGTTTAGATCACAGGTGTCAGACTCCAGTCCTGGGGGGCCGGAGCCCTGCACATTTTTGGTTTCCCCTCGTTTAACACACCTGATTCAACTTCTTGTGCTAATTACCACATAGCTGTTGAGCTGAATCATTTGTGGTGGAACAGGGAAAGAACTAAGCTACACAGGGCTCTGGCCCCCCAGGACTGCAGTTTTGCACCCCTGGTTTAGATAGTGTATTATAAACATGTCATGGCTGTGGAGCCTCCCGCCCCCGCCCTGCACCGCGCAGCCCCACATGGTGGAATTTATCATATCTAAAGGAGTTGGGAATGGGTGTTTTGGCAGGACTCCAGAAAAAAACTTTGAGAACCACTTTTGTAAGTGTGGACGAGCCAACAAAATCCCTCGTCCACTGCTGCAAAAATGGCTGATTGTCCAGTGCAATCATTTCCATTATTTTAGTAGTTCAGTCTTTTAGCTCTGGAGCAGTTTAAAATCAGCTAAGATTTACACATCGGCCCAAAGCCGATATCTTAATTTTTCATGAATATTGGCTGTTCCTGATATGTTAACCGATGGATTGTACATCTCTACCTGCAGCTTCGCTTGTTACAAAAATCCCTTTCTGCCATAGATTCAGCAGAAAACCTCTCATGTCCCATGAATAATTTCTACTAATCTTGTAAGATTTCTGCCAGTCTTCTTTTCAAAACTCCAGCTGTTCATGCAACTGCTTATCCTAGTCATAATTCACATGTGTATGAGCTTAAGTCACACACTGACTGTTTCAATGTTGTAGTTGGGAGATGCGTGTTAAGGGCCGGTAGCAGGGAGCCGGGGTCCGGGCTGAAGGTCTCCAGGTCAAACGTGATCTCACACAGATCCCTGGCTGAAGTCCGTGTGCTGGGTGATGGCATCCATGGTGCAGTTCCTCTGTGACTGACAGCTTAACTCCCCTAAGCCTCCGGTTACCGTGGTGCTTTGTTGTACCGGGGCGTGCTGGGACGCTAACACCATTCCTGGTGGATGCTGTGATGAGCTCATCGTGCAGATATGCGTTATGCTGGGCCAACGGCCGTCACCCAGAAAACAGAGCCGCCGTGGTCCTGCTGTTGCGGGGTCCTGCCGGCGTGGGGTCTGTGAGGGCAATGCCTGCATCAGCCAGACTCTGGGATTCAGCCGCTTGCTGCCTGGAGCTCATTCCCTGTGGCTGTAGTGACATCTTTGGACTGTTCACTTGGCATTTGTTGGATCACGTGAAAGTGCGTCTCAAGCCCAGCCCTCGGTTAAAGTGGTGAACGTGCACGTCTGCTTTCTCCTGGGGGTGTTTTTGTCACAGTGTTTTCTGGGCTTGTGACTTGGCACAATGCGGTATTAGAGGCTGCTGGCTCAGTGCATCATATTGTGACTTAAACCGTTTTTGATTTAACACGATATGCGTCTTTGGCGTTGAGTTAGGTTCCTGCTCGGGTGTTAGTTCTGGTAGAGGGAGAGCAGCTTTGAAGAATTGCTCGTGTGCTTGGCTTCATATTTCGGTTTTGTGGCAGTGGGTGATGTGCTTTTGTGTGTTACCCCTTTCGAGAGCTTGCCGTACTCTCCCATAACATTGCCCTCCGATGAAAACTGTATATGTCATCTTTTGACAATTGTGACTTTAGATTGAATACACCCATTGATGTTATATCTATTTAACTAGTATTTGTGTTTATAATAGTTACCATTTGTGTTCACAATGGTCCTTTGTATGGGTCATTTTTACACTAATTTTAACTTAATATTGATGACTTGATTTAGATCTATTTAATCACAAATACCAAATTTGATATTTGCCTTACTGACAACAATACATTTAAAGTAAGTCCATTTAAAACATTAATCACTGAAGACTGTATAAAGAGAGGTTTATATTTGTGGTGCTATTTTAGATCTATTTTGTAAAGTAGTTTCTGGGACAGTGAGGGTTTTTTCATGTTTCTGAAATAATGGATTTTTGGAGATGTGTGTTTTTGTTGGACAGCGACAGTAATCAGGTTTCTGAGGACCAGGCTCCACACATCCACTGATGTCTAAGTGTGAAATGCTTTGTGGGTCTCATTCAGGTTTGAGGGGCAAATAACAGGGCAGGTTTCTCCTGCACTGCTGTGGATTGGGAGTCTTGGTTGTCAGGCAATCTTCATTCCAAAGACTGATGCACTGTGTTGGATCCAAGTGTCCAAAAGCCATTGCCCACGGTTCTTGGGAGTTCCCATGGCCTCTCTTGCCTGGCTCATTCTTCAGTGGTTCTCTGATTAAAGTGCTTTTGTTCACACAGTGCACCGCTCAACTCGGCCGGCCACTGGAGGGTGCAAAACGCTCCGACTCAGGAGCTGGCACTCACTTGTCCTATCAGATTACCTCCTGCACCTTGGGCTCTGTCGGGCCTCTTGTGTCATTTGTTTGTTATGGTTCAAAGCATCCCACTGTTGGAATGTAACTTGGTGGTTTTTATTTCAGGATGTTCATGTAGCTCAATGAAAATGAGGGAAATGTGCCGTGTGTGTGTGCTAGAGAGGAGTCTTTCAACAGTAACTCACTGAATCAGGGCTCTCAAGCTTGGAATCTGCCACAACGTGATTCTTGTCAGTCATTTCAGGGTTGGACATCATCAGTATCCGTTTTACCATAGCTCGCTGTGGTTTACCATACCACAGATGCCACACTTCTATTTACTAACAATTTACTAGCAATCTTCTTAAGCCACTAACTGATCAGCTGTTTGTCAAATGAGCATTTTGCTGTATGTACATACTCATTACAGGTGTTGCCTTACAGTACAGTTTTCACCCCCTGGGAAGCTAATGGATGGTCTATTTTGATAATCAGTCTTAGCATTGCTGAACCTTCAGACTGAGCATATATGAATTTAAAATCAATTATCCAGTCCTATCTGTACTCACTCCAGATTACTCTGTATTAGTGCTAAGAGTTGTCATGGTACTTTTACTAAACGGTCTGTAGTTATCAAATAGTGTGACTGGCTGAAGATTTCGTGTGATATTGGCTGAAAGTGCTTTTACTGATTCCATTTTCTTCATTCTGCCAGTCACACCTTGTTTACTGGCTCCCTCTGTCTCTGATTTTGTAAAGCTGAGCTTTGATGCTTCTGACGCCAGTGTCGTATCACATTCTGTTTGTGTCTGGGGCTGTTGCACACTGCGATGCACGTCACGCCGGCCACAAGATGAGGCTGAGTAGCACTACAGAATGCGCGTGTGGTCTCGAGCTCCCCCTTGACCGGGCGGGCAGCGTGTAAGCCTGCAGCCTCGTATGAATTGCATGTTTGCCTTGTCCCCTTCGGTCTTCGCCTTGCAACGGTCACCTGCCGTGGCATGTGCAGCAAGCAGCACTGGCTAAGCTGCCCCCCCCCCCCCCCAGCTCACCGGCAGGTTCGTCTCTCCCTGCCAGACTGTCAGGGAGAGAAAGCACTGGTTGTGGGGCCTCTGCTCAGCGGCTTCCTGAGGGTGGGAACCAGGTGTGAGCGAGCCCCTCACCTGCAGATGGTGTGTGGGGTCGACCTCGCAGTCGGACTGGGAAGGGACACACTGACGGGCGTTTCTGTCTTTGCAGCGCTTGGGAGATGTGAGGTTCGGACAGACGCCGCCGCCGCCGACACCGAGCGACCTGTGCACCCACGCGAGCCTCAGCCCATCTTCAGCATGAATGGGGACATGCCTCATGTTCCCATCACCACTCTCGCTGGGATCGCTAGCCTCACCGACCGTAAGTATGGCTGCGTCTGCACGTGCAGGCATGCGCAGAGTGGGTGCTGGCTGGGGGCTTTGCTATTCTCCTATGCTGGATGTGTTCTGGATGTGGTGTTCGTCCTTGGACACACTGCTGTGGATTACACTCTTTGGGGAAGATTTTTTTATTTTTTATTTTTTGTGGATCGCCTTTTTCTGCTCGGGAGGAATTTGAATCCTGTGGGACTTGTTTGGATTACCTGTTCTTGGGCTTGGACTCCCCTGGAATTCTGCAAGATGAGCCATTGGGAAGGATTGTTGGTGCCCCCCAGCTGCACAGCCAGCCTCCTGCGCCGGCCGCCCCGCTCTGCGCAGCCAGGCATTTCTCTGCCCCCATGCATCTCTGAATAGCCAGACACCTCATGTGTTTCTCTAGCATATTGTGGCTAAACATCTGGGGATAGCAAACAGGCCGACGCTGTTGGAATAAGTTGGAGGATTTTACAGCGTGTGTGCATGCATTTGGCTCAGGGGGCCATGTGGGGGGGGGGGCACAGTTCGGCTCGCACGCCTGTCAGCATGGCGCATCAGCAAACACTGTGGATACCAAAACACTCGTCCCGTTGGTGTTCTGTTGGCCCGGTGTCAGCTGGATCTGAGCGGAATACAGAAAAGGGGCTTAGAATCCATTTGATAAATAGTTAAACAGAAGTAGATTTAACTGCGGGGATGATGAGGGAGGGGGACTCGCTGTGAGGTTCGATGACATGCAGTGTCAGGGTGATGTGCTGACTGCTGCATGCTCAGCATCTATCCTGCACTCTGCTTTAACTGTATGAGAGGCTGCAGTGATGGCCAGCCCAGTGATCACCCTGTGCTGGTTTGATGAGCAGGTCCCAGTGATGTACTGGTGTGGCTCTATTGGGAGCGAAAAGGTTACGCAGTATTTCTGTAGCAGCCTTCTATGTAACCTGTACCAGATTTAAGTTAGAGATACACTATATATTGGTTAACGTGTCAGTATCAGCTGATATTCGTTGAAAATCAAGATATCCACATTGGTCCGATGTCTGCCTTGGGCAATATGTATCAGTATTTAAAGTTAGCAGTACTCATATTAGAGACACAAGTAATGGAGATGCTTAATCATTTTCTGTAGTGCACGACAAGGTACTTTGTTGCTCTTTCATTGCGTAGAATTATGGTTGCCACTTTCACGCTGAAGAATTGGTTCAAACCGCGATGTAGCATTTAATTTCACAATACAGGATCGCTGTTTAGGTCAATGTTTCCACAGAATAAAAAAAACAGCTATGTAACGTTAATCTGCTGAGTTTCATCACCGGCACCCGCTTCGCTCAGCAAGGGGTTCTGGGGTTAGCTAGTTATTAGACAAAAATAATCTGGTGATCGGTACTGGTCAAGATTTCCATATCGATGCACCCAAAGTTACAGGCACAAACATTTGGTGGTTTCAGAGTGGCTTACTGCTAGCTGGCTAATGGCAGAAACCACGTTAAATAGTAAATGTTAGTTTATGGTGGGTTTTTTTGTAGGCCTGCACGATTCTGAAAAAAAAATTGATCCAGGAGCTGCATGTCAACTTCTGACAACAGAAAGGAAACGCTCATTTGGCCATTCAGCTTGGCATATCGCACATCATCCAGCCCTATAGTATGCTACGGCCATTTTTCTAATTCAGTGCAAAATACCTGCCTCGTGTTGTAATGTCATTCAGCACCAGTACCAGATTTTGAAAACAGACAGTGAAAAACCAAAAGTACCAAAAATACAGTACCTGGTGCGGTGGGAAAACGCCCTTTAAAGAGTATGCAGAATTATGGGATGCTTGAGTCTCTGGGGGAAAAATAGGAGCGCTTGTTTTAATCCAGGTGATGGAATACAATGCAGAAGAACTGTTGTAATTTAGAAATGGGATGAGGTGTGAATCAAGATCGCTGTTTTTTTACAATTATTTATGCAGCCCTACTTATTAGTTCTTCATAAAAGCCAATTTTGTGGTGCCATTATTATTCTTATTTCCACCAAGGATTTGCTGCTTTCAGTACTAACTAAAGGTGGTTTTGATACTGTTTTTGTTATAAAGGTTGCTCAACTGGACAACTATACATAACCCTTATCTGCATAAATGGGCAGTGTTTATGAGTTAGTGCCCATGACCGGAAGTTTTCAGGTTCGAATCCCATAGTCGCCAGAGTGAATTGACCATTGGGTCTTTGCGCAAGGCCCTTAAATCCTAATGGTCCAGGGACTGGCTGACCCTGCCTTCTTAAGTATGGTGCTTTTCCACTGCGACCAAGTACCAAGCTGTAACCATGCTGACATGGCCTGCTTACTAGCAGGGCCAAAAGCATCTGTTTAGTTGAAATGCACAGAGATACCAGTGTTCTGCACATGGATTATCTGAAGGAAAAGCGCTTACTCTATATATTATTCATTTTTAGCAGTATTGTGTACTGATGCATTCCTTATACCTAGAAACCTACTTAAAAAAACTACTATAGAGCAGATGAATGGAATGGATTCGTAATTCAACTTAACACAAGCGAATGCTAATTCCACTTGGGTTTGATGCTGACATAATACAGCAATTCTCACACAGTTCTAGCATAAAGTAGCACTGCAGTAAATAATTGCATTAATAGCAATAATAATAATTGCACATAGTAAATCATGATGTACAGCGTGTGAACAGTAAAGCGTTTCTTTTGCTCTGTTAACCTGGCAGTGCCAGTGAGCCGACCCCTCTGCAGTGGAAAACGGAACCATGTTGGAACTAGTCTCTTCGTTACAGCTCAAGTACAGGTTGATTCCTGTATGCCAGTGGAAAAGCACCAAAACACATTGCTTTGGATAAAAGCATTTTGCAAAATAAATGTACATGTTTAGATGCAGCGCAGGTGGTAAAATACGATCACATAAACTCTCCTGAAGTCCCTTGTTCTGCTACTGTTCCCACTTCTGAGAGAACAGGCAGACGCAACAGCAAGCATTCTCACTTTTAAAATGCAGGAACCTGAAATGTCAGTGTGAAATGATTTGATGTAATGAGGAAGAGGCCTATCGCGGGAGCTGCCTGTTTGGCTCATCAGTGGATGAGTGTCTGGCAGGTGTATTAACCCTTGTAAGCCAGTTAGTCAGCACACCGTTAAGCTCTGAGGGCCTGCCCTGCTCCCATAGCTACTGTCTGCAGTGACACCCTCATGGCTGGAGGCATAGGAGAGGCCTGTGTCTCCAGACTTTATTTACCTTTGGAAAGTTGATTGGTTGATGTACAGTAAAGTGAGTCATCAAGCAGACAAAGTGAGAATGTTGAATGAGAACTATAAATAAAAAGCAACCTTTATCTCATAATGCTTCTTCAGCAGTCTTTGGGGGGCATAGACAGCAGTGGACGATTAGGTCCATCTATCTGCTGTAAGCTCCACAGGTGGCTCTGGTGCTCCAGGTGTCGCCCTCTGTATCAGAACGGGGTCAGCAGACTTACTGGTTTGACTCTGTGATAAGTGTTTACTGGGACGGCACCAGCGATCAGTATTGGTTCTTATTGCATGTTATATGAGAGAGGGTGTGTGACTCATCCGTTTGAGGGGTCTGTGGGTTTGAATCCCGTGGTTGGCAGAGTAATCATGACCATTGGGGAAGGCCTTCAACCATGAGCTCTGACCCCAAAACTTCTCAGGTAACATACAAGTGTGTGTGTGTGTGTGTGTGTGTGTGTGTGGGTTATGTGAAAACTACTACACTGTTCTGTTAACGAGATAAGCCATATTTCTGCTCGTTATTTTCTCTCATCAGATATACAGATGCTCCTCTGTTTATGATGATTCTACTTACGCTATTTTGACTTTACAACTAGCGATGAACGTTCAGGAGTCATCTTTGAATTTTCATCTGTTCTGGGCTAGCGATGTGCCCTATGTTACTTTCTACTGATGCTAGGCGATGACAGCATCTACACCACCATGCTTCCAGTCTCTGTAGCAATCACAAGTGTAAACATCTTATACAATGTTTAACAACATATCATAGTGTTTTTTCCCTATGTTTAACCAAATAAACTGTGTTTATTTACTTTTCAATTGCTGGTATTTAGTTACAGTATCTATTTACTTATTTAGTCTTTGGCAGTATTTAACGTATCATTTTCATATTGAACTTATATTTTCCACTTACAGTGGTTCATCGGAACGTAGCTCCATTGTAAGTCGAGCACCTGTCCTAGAGTGTAACAAAGGCTCTCTAATCTGCATCTTCTGTCAGGTGTCAGAGCCCTATGCTGTTTTTTTTACTTTAAAACTGCGTTATTCTGGGGAACTGGTCCTTTCTGGCCTTTCACGTGTTCTTTAACCACACAAAACGTCACTCGGCTGTGATGCACAGAAGCTGCGAGAAGGTCCCTGTTCAGCCATCCTCCTCAGAACCCTGTCGGCCTCTGTCTCTGTCTGCAGTGTTGAACCAGCTGCCTTTGCCCTCTCCCCTTCCTGCCACCACCACGAAGAGCCTGTTGTACAATGGGAGGATCGCGGAGGACGTCACCTGCCTGCTGGGCTGCAGGGACGAGAGCCTGGTGGCCCAGCTGGCCCAGAGCCTCAGCCAGGTCTCCACCGAGCACATGTGAGTACCGTGCTAAAGACACCAGAAACACTGACAGACATCCAGTTCAAAGTGATTTACATTATTAGTAGCTTTTCTCTGAGTGGTTCTTCTAGGGTGTAGGAAAGTGAGCACAGTCACATAGGCTAGCCTCATATCGTTCAGTTTAGTTCTTGGCGTCCTGTTCACTGTACCTCTGTGCCTTCCTCCAGAGAGCTGAAGGACAACCTGGGCAGCGATGACCCCGAGGGCGATGTCCCTGTGCTGCTGCAGACGGTGCTGTCCAGAAACCCCAACATCTTCAGGGAGAAAAGTAAGGCCATGCCCTTCGCAGCTACAGTGGGGCGTTGGAGAGTTGGCTGCCCGCCCTTCTGGCCCACACTCTGGCAGCCTTCTTAAGCTCTGCTGACACAGGGCACAACAGAATCTGAGAAACCGTTTTCCTGGTCTCCCCAGTCAGATCCAAGTATGGGATTTCTATTGTTGCTGTTTACCCCAACGGCTCTTCCCTTACGCCGAGGTTGCTTCCTGTTTTAGAGTGACTGGCTGGCTGCCTGGCAGCCTCCAGCCTCGTGCTTTTCACATAAGTTTCATTATACGCTGCTTCTCCAGGTATCATGCAGCAGCCAATGATGCCACAGTACAAGATGTCCCAGAATTCCATGCATGGCAGCTCGGCGTCCACAAACTACCAGCAAACCACTATCTCGCATAGCCCTTCCAGGTAGGTGTTCACATCTTGCTAATGCTAATCCAGCAACTAGTCTCCTTTTTCTAGATCCATGTGTTTGCAGCATTATTTGCGATATTCAGCATGGCCCCTTCTCTCCCTGCCAGTCGCTTTGTTCCACCCCAGACGAGTTCAGGCAGCAGGTTCCTGCCCCAGCAAAACAGTCCAGTTCCGAGCCCCTATGCCCCCCAGAGCCCTGCCGGCTACATGCAGTACCCCCACCTGCATGGCTATGGCCAGCACCAGCAGATACAGCAAGGTGAGTTAACCGTGTGACGGGCCACTATCTCCTGTCCCTCCACTCTAATGCCAGTGTGCTCCTGTAGCTCCCGTGTGCAAACGCCCCTCCGTGTGGCTCCCCTCTGGCCGTAGAGCTCCATGGCTCTCGCTTGGTCACGGCTCCTGCTTACTCAGGAAGCCCCCGGTGTTCCACACAGCCCTTTCTCCTGCTCCATCCTCAGCCTTCCCTTCACCTGAGTCTCTCCACCCCAGCATTAGTTGGGGGGATGGGATGGGGCTGGGAGAGACAGCAATAGGCAAATCTGTTTCCCCCCCCATGTAATGCTTGTGTTGCCCCGATCACATGTCCTTCCTCCGTGCAGCCTGCTTAGGGTCTTGGCATGACCAGCTTATGCCTGTCCTATGAGAACCTCTGAGCCATTTGTAGTCGATGGGCGTTCACAATGACCATGCTGTCTCTTTCCATGTCAGTGGCCAGTCCCATGGTGCCTGGTGGTATGAGGAACATCCACGACGGTAAGGTGTCAGGGCAGCTGTCAAGTAATTCAGCCAATCACCACGCAGACGGAGGCAGGCATGGATCCAATGAAGACTACATGAGCATTGTCCACAGGCTGGGAGCAGAGGTAAGTCCATGCATTATGTTTCGAGGGTCTTTGCACTTCCTGAGCAGGTGCAGCTACTTTCTGCTTCTCATTCTCGAGGTTTGAGCATAACTGTTAGGTAACCGTGACCGCTGTGTCATTTCAGGAGGGCGACCCCTCCATGAGGAATCCCTCTTTCCCCCTTCGCTCCCCACAGTCTGTGTGCTCCCCTGCGGGAAGTGACGGGACACCTAAAGGTAAGTGCAGGACTCTGGCTAAAAAGGCCATTCACTTTCCCCCTGTAGTTTGCAGGAAATGTAGAGGTTCTCCAGACTATGCAGGGAAAGTCTAAAATTATAAACCCGAGAATGTTATATGCCATAGGTGGCAAATGTTGCTGGTGCAACAGAGTTTTTATAACATGCACATGCTGTCTCTGCAGCTGGGTCCCGCCCTCCGCTCATCCTGCAGTCTCCGCCTCCCTATGCCTCCCCCCGTGACGCGGCCCCTGACCTCTTACTTGACTCCCCTGAACGCAAGAAGAGGCAGAAGAAGTTGAGCAAAGAGGAGAAGGAGCAGGCGGACAAGGCGGCCATGTACGATATCGTGAGCTCCCCCTCCAAGGACTCCACGAAGCTGACCCTGCGGCTGTCCCGTGTCAAGTCATCTGAGCTGGACCCATCGGGCGAGTTGCCGGCTGGCATGGAGCCGGGCTTCGACCCGGAGGGAGATGTGCCCGTCAACAGCTTGCCATATGGTGGGGCCCAGCTACTGCATGCGCCCCAGGAGCCTGGAAGCCGAGCTGGATCGGGTCAGTACCTGGCGGCAGGCGAGCCAACCAGCTACCTGCAGGCCCCACAGGTCCCTGCGCTGCCCAACGCTGGGGTGCTCCCAGCCAAGGAGCCCACTCACGGGGTAGCCAGCAGCACGCCCTATGATGAAGTGGAGATGGATGCACTGGCCGAAATTGAGAGGATAGAGCGCGAGTCGGCCATTGAGCGGGAGCGCTGTTCCAAGGAGGTGCAGGACAAAGGTGTGTCATGCTGTTGGGACCCTGTCTCTGTCTCCTTGTCTCTGTCCCCAGTCCCCTGTCTCAGTCTGTGCTGAGGTTTAGCAGCAGTAATGTTGACTGAGGTTCTCTCATTGCAGACAAACCTCTGAAGAAGCGGAAGCAAGATTCTTACCCTCAGGAACCCGGGGCAGGTGGCACAGCAGGATCCACGGGCGGCCCTGGAGTGGGAGGCGGGGGAAGTGCTGGGAACAAAATGGCCCCGCAGGAGGCCTGCGCTGCCGGCAACGGGGCTAGCCGGCCTGCCTTGATGGTGAGCATCGACCTGCTGCAGGCTAGGCGGGGCGAGTCCCAGCTGGATATGTGCTTGGCAGCACCAACCCCGGCTTTTGATGCCCAGAGGCTGCCTGAGGAACCCCGGGGGGGACCTGCTGCTGACAGGGCTGACCCCGGCGCCATGCTCCAGCTCAAATCTAGCCGGGATTCTGGAAAGAGGAGGCCGGATGGGGAGATGCCGAAGGCTGTGGACGGGCGGCCTGAAATCATCAAGCAGCGGACGGAGACACCGAAGAAGGGGAGTGTGGAGACACCCCGGCCAAAAGACCAAGGCGATACCACGAAACACAGACAGGACAGCCGGCGGGACACTCCTGGAAAGCTGCTGAATGCCGACAAGCGGACAGAGCCCTCCAAACACAGGCACGACGGCAGGCTGGACACCCCCAAGGCCCGGCCTGAGGGCAGGGGGCCTGAAGCCCCTCGGCACAGGCCAGAGGAGCGCTCCGCCACGACTGAATCCATGAGGCGGGATGGCACCGAGGGCCACCGTGGCAGCGGGATCGGTGATCCCACTCGCATCCGGCGACCTGACACCCCTAAATCCAGCAGGGGGGAGCCAGACTCTAGGCACGGGCGAGATAGGGACCGGGAAAGGAAACATGGAGATGCTCGGGACCGGCGGTCCCCAGAGCAGCGGTCCCGGCCAGATAGCCCACGTGTGAAAAGCGATCCGGCCGGCTGGCCACAGCCAAGCTTTAAATCTCCACTCCGGAAGGAGGAGAGGAGGCCCGGTGACAGTAGCAGGAGTCGCTCCGAGGGACACAGGCAACCGGACAGCAAGCCCGGGGAGTTCCCCTCTTATCTCCTGGGGGGCAAGTCAAAAACTCTGGGTAACTTCGTTATCCCGAAGATCAAGCGAGACAAGGATGGCAACGTGGTGTCAGAGCGGCGGCCCAGCGAGGCCTTGGGTGAGTGCCAGGCCAGAATGGAGCGTGCGGAGCAGTTGCAGGACCTGCAGAAGGGTGCCAAGCCTGTGGTGGTGCTGCAGAAGCTGACGCTGGACGAGGTACAGCGCTTCATCAGGGAGAAGGAGGACTGCAATGCTAGGAGCTCCAAGTCTGGCAAGAGCAGGCACTACTTGGACAAGACTGGCAAGGGTAGGTGGCCACCAGCCTTAGCCTGCAACAAGGTACAACATTGTATGACACCTTGTGGCAACTTGTACGCTTCTGTTCCAAAGGGGTAGCGCTTAACATTTGCTCGTTGCCGCCCCTAGGTGGCATGGACCCATCAATCCTGCAGGAACTCCCCCCACACCTGTTGGCTGAAATCGAGTCCACCATGCCACTGTGTGAGAGGGTCAAAATGAACAAGCGCAAGCGCAGCACTGCCAATGACCGGCCCAAGTATGCCGAGGTCAGCTCCGAGGACGACAGCGAATGCACAACCGACTGTGAGTAGCAAGGATGGGGGGAGTGAGGCATTCTGGGAATCTGTGTTTGTGCTCAATGGGGTGTCAGAGCATAACCCCAGGTTGTGTGTTGCATCCAGCTGCCCGTAAACGGCACAAGAAGGACCGCGACCGAACGTGGGAGTATGAGGAGCGGGAGTCCCGGCGGAACAGCTGGGGCCATGAGGGCCGCAGGGGGTCTGGCAGCCGCCAGCGGGAGCGCAGTCCAGAGGACTCGGACAATGAGTCGCCCCCGCCCAGCCTGAGCGACTGTGAGTGCCCCTCCATACACTCTGAAGTAGCTTCAGTTTTCCTTTGGTGATCAGGGCTGGAACAGGAATCTGGCTTTGATGTTTCAGTGGTGAACGTGTGGGTGAGGGGGTACCAGTCAGTGGGCTTGAGTTGGCCCTTTGAGGATGGGCACAAGTTTGCCCTGTTGACAGTTGTGTGACAGATCAGGTATTTGGTGACGCACATGAACAGGACTCCTCTGTCTGCCTTAGTGGCCAAAAAGATGAAGAAGAAAGAGAAGCAGAAGAAGCGAAAGGCATATGAACCGAAGCTCACTCCAGAAGGTACCTTCAGAACCTCTCTGTTTAGTGACACTAGGCCTGTAAGTGCTGCTGTCATGTGTGATGTGATCTGTGTGTTTTATCTTCCTCCCTCAGAAATGATGGATTCCTCGACATTCAAACGTTTCGCAGCAAGTGTGGATAACATCCTGGAGAACCTGGAGGATGTGGACTTCACTGCTTTGGGTAGGGGACCAGTGAACTCCATGTAGCAAGTTACATTGCTTGGCATCAACTACTCTAGTTACAAGACTTTTGGCATTGAAGACCAGGCTGGCTTCCATCTTAACTCCAACTTTGAGTATTGTGGTTTAGAGGTAATTGTGAATTGTGGTGAGCGATTTGCAGTGATGATGCTCTCCTCTGCAGCAGATGATGATGAGATCCCTCAGGAATTGCTGCTGGGGAAGCACCAGCTGAGTGAGCTGGGCAGCGAGTCAGCCAAGATTAAGGCCATGGGCATCACCTACAGGGTACGGCCATGCCAGGGGCAGTGTCACAGGGCTGTGTAGGGCCGTTAAGTGACTGATCACTTCATGTGGTGTCTGTGTAAGCTTCTGTGTAAGTTCAGCTGCTTCTTTGTCTCCATTAGCTCTCATCGGATAAACTGGTGAAGGTTTTGAATATTCTGGAGAAGAACATCCAGGATGGTGCCAAGCTCTCCACTATGATGAATCTCGTGAGTGTTTTGAACCATCTTCCTGGCTGCCTCGCGACAGACAGTGGGGCCGTGTGATGTCTGAGTCCCCTCCCCGTCTCCCTCTCATCATCACAGGACAACGACAGCGAGGACGAGGAGCGCCTGTGGCGGGACTTGATCATGGAGCGAGTGACCAAGTCCGCCGATGCCTGCCTCACAGCCCTCAACATAATGACGTCCTCACACATGCCCAAGGCGGTCTACATTGAGGATGTCATCGAGAGGGTGCTTCAGTACACCAAATTCCACCTGCAGAACACATTGTACCCCCAGTACGACCCCGTGTATCGTGTGGACCCCCATGGAGGTTAGGAGGGCTGGTTTCTTGTGGTCCTGTGAAGGGCCTCCCTGTTCACCCTGTCTCTCGTAATGCCTCTATGGCTTTACATCTCCTTGCTCTGTTATAAACGGCTCCTTGATCGACCTGTTGATACGGCAAGCTTGATTTTGATCCATTCCCTAAAACCAGGCTGTACACCACTTCACCTCCTGCTTACTGCGAGTTAGTCTTCCACCATAGAGCAGTGTGGCTTTAGGCTAGTGGAGTCCACACTGGGTCTGAATCAGGCTTCACCTCCTGGTACCTCTTCCTCCCGGTCCAGGTGGCATGCTGAGCTCTAAGGCCAAGCGAGCCAAGTGCTCCACACACAAGCAGAGGGTCATCGTCATGCTGTACAACAAGGTGTGCGACATAGTGAGCAACATCTCTGAGCTGCTGGAGATCCAGCTGCTGACAGACACCACCATTCTGCAGGTGAGGTGCTGCTCAGTGCACTCACACACAAACAAACACACTTAAATGGGAACTGTGCCTCTTTCAGACAGTGCTTGGTATCATTCTCTCTGTCGGTCTCTGCCCTGAACCCAGGTGTCATCTTTGGGAATTACTCCATTCTTTGTGGAGAACGTCAGTGAGCTGCAGCTTTGTGCCATCAAGCTGGTGACCGCGGTGAGCATGAGGAAATGGACAAACACCCACACTGTCGGAGTGTGGTTTACAAATGCTGACCTATCCATCCAAATGCACCGCACCGTGGAAGCTCTCCACGTTTCTTTGACCATGCCCCTCCCCATCTGTCCTAGGTGTTTTCTCGCTATGAGAAGCACAGACAGCTGATCCTGGAAGAGATCTTCACATCTCTGGCCAGGCTGCCCACTAGCAAACGCAGTCTCAGGAACTTCCGGTACGTGCCACCTGTCAGGTGATGTTCATCACAGAGTAATGGGTACACACAAAGCCTGACCGTGGGCGTGTTGCTGTCTTCTCCAGGCTGAACAGCAGCGACGTGGATGGGGAGCCCATGTACATACAGATGGTGACCGCTCTGGTGCTGCAGCTCATCCAGTGTGTCGTCCACTTGCCTTGTGACAAGGACAACGGCATGGAGGATGAGTTTGACAAGAAGGTGAGAGCCTATCCCCCAGACCCCCCTAGGTCTCTGTTGTGATCACCTTCTCAGGGGTCACGTGACATGGATGGGAGGTTGGGCTTCCTGTCAGGTTTCTCACATTTTTATGGAAGCCATCAATGGATTTTGAGTTGGGTTTTGCTCACCTTGAAGCGTTGGCCGATCTTTTCTCCAGGTGGATCATGATGTCCTAATCACAAACTCCTACGAGACTGCCATGAGGACTGCCCAGAACTTCCTGTCTGTCTTCCTTAAGAAGTAAGGGTCGCTCATCTGCTGAGGACTATCTCGCTCTCGTCCTGGTCGTGACTCATCCTTCTCCATCCTTCACCCATGGCATGTTCAGGTGTGGGAGTAAACAAGGAGAAGAGGACTACCGGCCGCTCTTTGAGAACTTTGTGCAGGATCTCCTGTCCACGGTGAACAAGCCCGAGTGGCCAGCAGCAGAGCTGCTGCTAAGCCTCCTGGGTCGGCTGCTGGTGAGCCCCGCCTTGCCAGGCCTCCAATGTGAGCTCCCATCCCATCTTGCCACATGATTCAACATGTAAACCCTCGCTGCCCTTGCCTCTCCAGGTGCACCAGTTCAGCAACAAGCAGACGGAGATGGCCCTGAGGGTGGCCTCACTGGACTACCTAGGCACGGTGGCCGCCCGGCTCCGCAAGGATGCAGTCACCAGCAAGATGGACCAGCGATCGATTGACCGCATTCTCCAGGAGGTGGGCGAGCACCCATGGGCACTGGGAGGCGCAGGACACAACACAAAGCATTACACTAAATGCAGTAGAGGCCCATCTGTGTCACCATGATGCTGACCTGTCTCTCGTTCCCCAGACCTCTGGGACTGATGAGACCCAGCAGCTACAGAAGAGCTTGTTGGAATACCTGCAGGCGAACATGGAGACAGACCCATCGCTTATGGTCAGTGTGGGCCCATATGGGCAGGGGCCAGTTGTAGCTGATGGAGGTAGGATGCCACTGTTGACCCGGGCCTGTTGATTCTTTCATGTAGTTCTCCCGGAAGTTCTACATCGCGCAATGGTTCCGGGATACCACCACAGAGACCGAGAAAGCCATGAAGACTCAGAACCAGAAGGAGGATGACTCGTCTGAGGGGCCGCACCACGCTAAGGAGCTGGAGTCCACGGGGGAGATCATGCAGAAAGCGGAGGCACGCAAGAAGTTCCTGCGCTCTGTCATCAAGACCATACCCTCGCAGTTTAGCACTCTCAGGTGGGCCTACCTGTCTACGCGAGGCTCTGGTGTCCATGCCAGGCTGGACCCCTCCCACCCATGGCTGTATGAGTGTGCCACCCTCAATAGGCTGCCTTTTTTGTGATGGGTGGGGGGGTGTTGTAATTATGTTGACTGACCACCCCACCTTGGGCTTCTCTTCCTGCAGGATGAATTCGGACACGGTGGACTACGACGACGCCTGCCTCATCGTCCGCTATCTGGCCTCCATGAGGCCGTTCGCTCAGAGCTTCGATATTTATTTGACGCAGGTGAGGGGGTGGGGGTGTTTCTGGCTTCCGATTAGCCAGCTGCTACTGTGTCGGGCCCTTGTCCAGGTGGCTGAGGCGGCCCCTGTCATCTATCTCCATGCAGATCCTTCGTGTCCTGGGGGAGAGTGCCATTGCTGTCAGGACCAAGGCTATGAAATGTCTGTCCGAAGTGGTAGCGGTGGATCCTAGCATTTTGGCTCGAGTCAGTATCTCAGCCCGTCTCTGGTCCTTTGACTGAATGTGTAGGAGGGGCCCTACTAATGTCTGTTGGTGTGTGTGATCTCTCCCCCAGCTGGATATGCAGCGAGGCGTCCACGGCCGGCTGATGGACAACTCGACCAGCGTGCGTGAGGCCGCCGTGGAGCTCTTGGGCCGCTTTGTCCTGAGCCGGCCCCAGCTCACTGAGCAGTACTACGACATGCTCATCGAGAGGATCCTGGTGCGTCGTGCCCATCGTGCCTTTATGCTAGGGCTTGAAGTGCGGTCTAGCCTGGCCTGGAGGTGTGGGTTGGCTGGAGAAGTCCTGCCTGTGTAGTGGGCTGCTCTCAGCTGAAAGTTTATCTGGAGGAGCAAGAGGCCCTCCATGCTAACAGGGAGTCTCACAGTAGATGATGTTCCATCTGATTCTCATCTCTTTTGACTCTGTCTAGGACACGGGCATCAGCGTGAGGAAGAGGGTGATCAAGATCCTGAGGGACATCTGCCTGGAACAGCCCACCTTCAGCAAGATCACGGAGATGTGTGTGAAGATGATCCGCAGGGTCAACGATGAAGAGGGCATTAAGGTTTGTCATGTTCACTGTGCCAGGGCTGTGCTACATGCATGGTGCTCTTCTTTCTGGGGTTAAGAAATGAGGATGGGTAGAACTAGACGTGATGTTTGTGCAGGTCATCTGGCTTCATTTAAGCTTCATTTCTCCAACAGAAACTGGTGAACGAAACTTTTCAGAAGCTGTGGTTCACGCCAACGCCCAACCACGACAAGGAGGCCATGACTAGGAAGATCCTCAACATTACTGACGTGGTGAGTGTTGATCAAAGCCACAGTGTTATCCTGCTGCTTCACGACAGTATGGTTGCATTACAATTGAAGATTCTAGCATCTCCCCCTTACCAGGAGTGTGGGTAGAAAAATTAGGTTAATTAGGTTAACAGTTAGGTTCACTAATTTTTGGACAAACTCTTTCCCAGGTATCAGCCTGCAAAGACACAGGTTACGACTGGTTTGAACAGCTTCTCCAAAACGTAAGTATTTTGTGTTGGTTCTTTGTGGAGATCTTGTTGGTTGGTGCTTAGCCTTTTCTGAGTGGGTTCTGCTGGGGGGGGTGTCTACTGTCTACTGGGGGTGAGATTTGTCATCTACTTGGAGCGGGGTTTACCTGTGTGTCAATTAGAAGGCATGAGGTTGGCTCCTAAGACACTTCCCTGTTTCTCTCTGCCGCAGCTTCTGAAGTCAGAGGAAGATGCCTCCTACAAACCGGCCATGAAGGCCTGTGTGCAGTTGGTAGACAACCTGGTGGAGCACATCCTCAAGTATGAGGAGTCGCTAGCAGGTACGCCACAGCTGGCCATCAGCGGATAGAGGCTGCGTGGGCGGTTGCCCAATTCTCCTCTTTGACTGGCCTTTTCCTCTAAACCCAGATTCAGAGAACAGAGGTGTGAACTCCAACCGTCTGGTGGCATGTATCACCACTCTGTACCTGTTCAGTAAGATCCGTGCCCAGCTGATGGTGAAGCATGCCATGACCATGCAGCCCTACCTCACCACCAAATGCAACGTAAGCCCCGACCCACCAACCACCAATCGTCAAAGCTGATTGGCTGTTTTTTCTGTGTGCTGTTACTTTGTGTATATAGTCCTATCTATCCCTGGGTGTGCTGGAACACCTTTTGGATCATTTTTAACAGTGGTAATATGGCGCCCTCTTGTGGTTGTCAAGTGGAGGTACTGGATGAAGCAACATAAGGGGACAATAGGTACCTATGCATCCAGCTTGTGTCTATGTGAAGTCACTGCCGGTCCTTTGGTCTAAGCAGTGGTGCCCCTTCCTCAGACTCAGAGCGACTTCATGGTGATCTGTAATGTGGCCAAGATCTTGGAGCTGGTTATTCCACTGATGGAGCACCCTAGCGAGACCTTCCTGGCCACCATTGAGGAGGACTTGATGAAGCTCACCATCAAGTATGGCATGACGGTAAGTGTGTTCCTGGTCTGAGGTGTGTGTCTGTCTGTGTGTCTCTCTGTGTGTGTCTTTCTGTCTGTCAGACCAGTGATCACTTTTCGTCTCTCTCTCAGGTTGTCCAGCACTGTGTGAGCTGTCTTGGGGCCGTGGTCAACAAGGTCACTCACAACTACAAGTTTGTGTGGGCCTGCTTCAATCGTTACTACGGTAAGATGTGTGTGGAAGCTAGTCCGGTGGGACATTAACATGGATATCTGTACCCGGCATGCCAGATCCATCGTCAAGTGTGATTTTTATTTAATGTTTTTTATGTTCTTGAGGTCTGGAGGCTCTGTGTTCAGCACTGAGTCCCCGTCGTTCAGTCAGTGGTCCTCACCTCTTCCCTTCATCTGCAGGTGTACTGACCAAGTTGAAGGCCCAGCACCAGGAGGACCCAAACAGCACGGTCCTGGTCTCCAACAAGCCCGCACTGCTACGCTCTCTCTTCACAGTGGGGGCGCTGTGCCGTCACTTTGACTTTGACCAGGAGGAGTTCAAGGGTGGCACCAAGGTGTGGCAGCACGGCCAGAGCACAGTGTCGGCCTCTGTGTCCTGCCTTGTGTTTTGTCTCGCCCTGTGCATCATGCCTTTGTTACCTGTGTTCACCTATGTTCACCTGCTCCCTTCAGGTGGTGATCAAGGATAAGGTGCTGGAGCTGCTGCTGTACTTCACCAGGCACGAGGACGAGGAGGTGCAGACTAAGGCCATTATCGGCTTGGGTAAGCAGGCGTATGCCGTGGGTCCCTCCTCATACCTGGCTTCCCCAGGCAGCCTGGTGGTGTGTATCTCTGTCTCTGAACATGCTCATCTCCCCGGCTCCAGGCTTTCTGTTCATCCAGTACCCAGACCTGATGTTCGCTCAGGATGTGAAGAGCCTGTACAATGGCATCCTGTCTGAAATCAGCTCCATCAACCTCAAGATCCAGGTGCTGAAGAATCTGCAAACGTACCTGCAGGAGGAGGACACACGGATGCAGGAGGCCGACCGCGAGTGTGAGCGAGCGCACACGCGCACGCATACACACACACACACACACACACACACACACACGTTCGCTTTGTGTAACCACCTTGGCGGGATGATTCACCCCTCAGGGAAGAAGCTGTCGAAGCAGGAGGACCTGAAGGAGATGGGGGACATCTCATCGGGCATGAGCAGCTCCATCATGCAGCTGTACCTGAAGCAGGTGTTGGAGGCCTTCTTCCACACGCAGTCCAGTGTGCGCCATTTCGCCCTCAACGTCATCGCTCTCACGCTGAACCAGGGCCTCATCCACCCTGTGCAGGTGTGTCTCTGTCCCTCCCCCCTGGCCCCTGCCTGTCCCTTACCCACCTGATCGCCATGGGAACAGACCCGGAACCCACCATGAGGAATAAGGCCGACCAACAGCTCGTGGAAATCGACAAAAAGTACACAGGCTTCATCCATGTAAGTATGCAGCCCCCCTTGGGAATACTGTGCCCCCTACCCCCGGCTGTGGCACCCCCTCATGCGTGTGCTGTCCCACAGATGAAGGCCGTGGCAGGAATGAAGATGAGCTACCAGGTCCAGCGGGCCATCTGGCCGTCTCGGAACATGGTGATCCGCGGCTTCCGGCCGGACGAGACGCACTCGGCGCTGTGCTCGCACCTCTTCAGTATGGTGCGGGGGAACCGACAGCACCGGCGCGCCTTCCTCATCTCACTGCTCAACCTGTTTGACGACAGCGCCGTGAGTCTGCCTCTGTTCACTAAGACCGCCCGCATCACTTGACCTGCCTGTTGCTTAATATGAGCCTCTCCCCCCGCAGAAGACGGAGGTCAACATGCTGCTGTTCATCGCAGACAACCTGGCCTGCTTCCCCTTCCAGTCCCAGGAGGAACCGCTCTTCATCATGCACCACATCGACATCACGCTGTCCGTGTCGGGGAGCAACCTGCTGCAGTCCTTTAAGGAGGTGGGCGTCCCTGCCCAGCCGGGCTGCGCGAGTGTCCTGCACCCGGCTGTATCGTTCATGTCTCTCTTCGCTCCTCTCTCTGCCCCCAGTCCCTGCAGAAGGAGATAAAGAGCCAGGAGAAGCCTCGAGAGATGCCCCAGAAGGACGGCTCAGAGGAGGACGAGGACAACGGGCCGAGCAGCGGGAACAACAGCAGCGATGAAGATGAGGTGGTGCGACGCTCCAAGAAGCCCAAGCAGGCGGTGGTGGCCGTGGACTCCGACTCAGACCTGGATTCCGACTTGGAGATAGAGGACGTGGACAGAGTGATGCAGCGGCTGCCCAGCAACCCCGGGCCCCTGCTGGACTTCGCTAACGCCTCTCAGGGCATCCTGCTGCTCCTGGTCCTCAAACAGCACCTGAAGAGCCTCTATGGCTTCTCAGACAGGTGAGTGCTTGGGCCACCAGGGGGCGTTGATGGTGGGCCAGTGACTCCTGAATGGCTGTATCAACTCTCTAAATGTATACACTCCTTTTGGTAGCACCCTTGAGCTTTCTCTGTATTCCATCCTCTCACTGCATTTTTTAATGCCCCTCTGCAGTAAAATCCAGAAATATTCCCCGACTGAGTCAGCCAAGGTGTACGACAAGGCGGTGAACAGGAAGGCCAATGTGCACTTCAGCCCCCGGCAGACGCTAGAATTCCTGTCCAACAACATGTACAAAGCAGACCTCAGTTATGAAACCAAGAGGAAGATCGTCAGGCAGTACCTGGATGTGAGTACCTTTGGTCTTCCTGTGATTGTGGAAGCTGCAGGTGCATTGTGGGTATCCGTGGCCATGTGATCGGCAGACTGACTCAGCCCCTGAACCGTCTTGTTCCTGTGTCTCAGTTCAAGCTGCTGATGGAGCACCTGGACCCAGACGAGGAGGACGAAGAGGGTGAAGCTTCGGCCAGCGCTAACGCCCGCAACAAAGCCATCACGGCATTACTGGGCGGCTCCAGCCCCAAGAACAACACTGCCATCGGTGACACGGAGGACGACGAAAGCGACGGCGAGGACAGGACGCCCGGGGTGAGGGGCCACACAGGGGTAGATGGGAAGGCGGATCTGTCTGTGGAATCGGGGAGGCGATGTCGACAGATAACCCATTCCTCTCTCTCCGCAGTCTTCCCGGAAAGCCAGACGAGGCATAGACTCTGCCGAGGCATCCGGTCACATGAACGAGACGGTGGAAGCCATGGACGTCATCGCCATCTGTTGCCCCAAGTACAAGGACCGGCCGCAGATCGCGAGGGTCATCCAGAAGACCAGCAATGGCTACAGCGTGCACTGGATGGCCGGGTCTTACTCAGGCGCCTGGGCCGAGGCCAAGAAACGGGACGGACGCAAACTGGTGCCTTGGGTGGACACCATCAAGGAGTCGGACATCATTTACAAGAAGATCTCCTTGACTAGCTCGCACAAGCTGACTAACAAGGTGGTGCAGATTTTACGATCGCTGTACGCGGCCAAGGAGGGGACTTCCAGCTAATGAACCCAAAACGTCAGCCCCCCTC